GGCCAGCTCGGGCCCCGACCGCAGGCCGGGAGTGGATCTTGGACAGCGTCGTGGAGCGCGTCGACGCAGCGGGCCCCCCCCCCGCCAGTTCTCTCGGCCGGGGGGGCCGCGCGCGAGCTGCTGGCATCCAGGGGCCTGTATAGCCAGGAGCCGAAGCACCTGGCGCCGTCCGTCCTGACAAAACTCGCGGTCACGAAGGGACGTGCGCGGCCGCGCTCTGCGGCCAACTTCATACCACCTCTTGCCGCGGAAATGATCCGCAATCCAGCGCAGCGCATAGAGAAGGATGAGGACCTAATTGGGATTCGTTGCTTCGCTCAAGCCGCATGGAGCGATGGCGTCTGTACAGAGTATTGCACGAGCTTGGGCCCGTCGCGCTCAGGCGTCGGCTTCGCGCTCGAGCGGCACTCTTTTTTGTGGAGAAGAAGAAGAAGCCAGGCGAGATCATAATCCTTGTGGACGCAAGGCAGGCCAACGCTTGCCATCGGGCACCTCCGCCCGCGCGGCCGGGGTCGGCAGGCGCCCTTGCAGACCTCGACCTCTCCGCAGGGAACGGCGCCTTCGACGGCGTCGGCAGCTTTGGCGGGTGGGGCCCCCGCGGGAACGAGGCGGACGTCGAGGATTGTTTGTGCAACTTCGTGATAGATGGGCTGGTGGAGAGGTTTGGTTTCGACGACCCGCGACCCGTCGCGACAATCAAAGACACTTAATGGCATCAATGTCGGCGCTTTCTGGGAGCCGGACTTGAGTGCGACGGTGCCTGCCGACGACGACGTTGTGCCCTATCCGTGCATGCGGGCTATGCGCATGGGGTGGTCGCGGGCTTTGTATTTTGGACAGGGGGCTGTGTCGGCGACGACAGCACGAGCCCTCCGGCCGCTCTCAACTTCGGAGCCCGCCATGGCGAAGGAGCGTCACCCAGCGCCTGGCCTCAACGAGTCCCAGGTGATGGGCAGCGTCTACGTTGACAATATCACGATCTTCGGCAAGACCGCACCTCTGGCTCGAGCGGCGAGCTCCGCCCTTCGATGTGAAACCGATCGGTGCGGACTCCCCCATCGCGTGGACTTGCCCGGATGTTGCGATCCATCTTGAGACAGTGAGGATCGAGCTTGACCTCAGGAAGGGACGCCTCCGCAACAAGGCCTCCCGCGTCTGGAGATTTGATCTGGCCACTCGGGCCGTCCTGGCTCGCGGCAGGATGCGTGGCGAGCATGTGAAGGTATGGCTTGACCGTGCGGTCTCCTTGATGCTTGCCAGTTCCGGCTACGCCGCGCTGTCCGCCACCTATCGCTTTGCAGAGGCGGCCCGCGGCGCGCGAACCACCCTACGAGGCCAGGCAGGAGATGCGCATCGTGGCCGGCCTCGTCTGGTTGGCGGAGGTCGACCCGGCAGCGCCATGCGTGCCCCGCGCGTACGCCGG